CCTCCAGCATAGTGCCAACACCCACTCTCTCCAAACAACATTGCTACCCTCCTGATAAATGTTGCAAAGGCAGATAAGGACAAAAAGTTTGAAGGAGAGATGAAGAAATAATGACGGCACTAGAAACAGCGTATACCTAAAACTGAAGACTTCAGCCTTTTGCCACAGATGAAACAGAAAGGGCGATCAGAACACTGAAAACACATGAAGCTACGGGCTTGGTAATATCTCAGCTGAATTCCTGAAGAGCCTGGGAAAAACTAGCAAACACTGAGTAACCATTTTGCTATCAAGAGTCATCTAGAAGAGACATCTAGAATTAGATGCAAGAGTCATCTAGAAGAATAAAAAGCTTAAGATCTTGCACAGGACCAAAGGTAATAAACAGTCTTGCCAAAACCTGAGAAAGGCAATTGAGTTGCAGCATATTACCACAACCCGATCTCTTTGTTAAGATTTGTGTACAAATTATCTGAAAGGCTTATCATTCAGAGAATTGCTCCCACCCCTTATCCTGAGTATAGATCAAGCAGGTTTCAGACCAAACCACAGTACCTGTGGTCAAGTGCTGGCACTCACTGCCTACATCAATGGCTTCCAGACCAGGCAGAAGACAGGTGCAGTATTCCTAGACCTTGCTGCTGCATATAACACGATCTGCCATATAGTCTTAAGGTGCAAAATGTTATTGGCCCTACCATGACGGGCTGTCAGAGGTGTGGAACTGCTGCTGAGAGACCACCAAAACAATGGTATACCTCAGGCTCAGTTCTAGCATTGACACTTTTCAGCCTCTTCACAAATGACCTTCCCTACACCACAGCCAGGCCTTTTATCTACGCAGACAACATCTGTCTGGCAGTGCAGGACCAGGATTTCAGTCACCTAGACAAAGTCTTCCATGCAGATATGAGAAAATTGGCCCACTACTGTAAAAAAATGGAGACTCAAAGTAAGTGTCAAAGACCGTTTCCAGCTGTTTGCATCTAAACCATACATAAGGCCAACGAACAGCTCAACATCTTCCTGAATGGACTCAGACTGGACAACGACCTAATGTCTGTGTATCTAGATGTCACACTGGGCCACACCTGGACATGCAAGGAACACCTTACCAAGACCTCACTGCAAATAAAGACAAGAAACATCCTGATCAGCCAGTTATCTGGTTCAAACAAGGGAGCCAATGCGAAGTCACTAAAAAGTTCTGGGCTTTCCTTGTGCTATTCTGTAGAAGAATATTGCTACCCAATGTGGCTTAGCCCATCTAACATAGGACTAGTGGATATGCAGCTGAATTAAACTATGTATATAACTGGTACCATGAGACCAACCAACCTGGCCTGGCTGCCGGTCCTGCCCCTTCTGACATCAGTTGACAAGTCACCTTACAGAATCTGGGTCCATCACTGTTTACAGAGTGATCCACCAATCTACCATTTTAGCTCAAGGCACCCAATTTGGACAATTCCTTTTAAGGAACCTCGATGTCACCTGCAAGCAGCATACTAGGTGGCAAGAACAAGCTTCCAACATAGCTAGTGCCTCGCTCATGACAGATCCAACAGTCCAGTCCCCTGGTTTTGACTTTCCACACCATCTGTGGGCAAAGCTCAATTGCTTCAGATTGAGTGATAAGATATACTTCTAGTGACTATAAGTAGGGCCTTCATGACTCCCCCCATTGGCACTGTGGCCAAGAAGATGTAGATCATATACTTGCAGGCTGCATCCATCAGCAAGGGCTGCCTGGTTTCCTCATGGACTTGCACAATGCCTTTCCCTCAGTTATTAAATGGTTAAGTTGCGTACACTGGAACGTCTATGTAAATGCAATTTCAACAATCACCACCAGCACAAGATATGAAAAGTTGCTGCAGGAACCTGAGTAGGAAGGGGAAGCCCTGCCTATCTGAACACAGATGGGTCCCCAAGAACTCCCAAAGGAAGGATGAACTAAAGTGAGCATTATTTTCAGGTTGTTTGTTGTTTTCTAGATGATCTGTACTTTGTGTATATCTTGTGCTTTAGTAAAGAATGCTTTAGAATTCTGTGCATTTAACAGTTACATCTACCACGAGCCCCTCTGGAAGTAGTAAACCAGAAGGCTCACACTTCTGAGTGGCGTTCTGGGAAAGGGTAGGTTCAAACTACAAGGGGAGATTGATAGCTAAGCACCGGTTCCAATGATGGGGCAGTGGGCTGTGTGATCTCAGTGGGGATGACAGAAGATCTGCACCCTGAGAGCATGCTCAGAGGCTGTAAGACTGTCCCTGTTCACTATGCCTGGGCTCTGTTTTAAGCCTCCGGAGTCTGAACAAACAGGATCTAGCAGCTGAATCCCCTCACAGCAGTCTGATGAGTGGCCAAGAGGGGGCTGCTCATCAGAACCTCTGACGGCACCTAGGTAAAGGAAGGTAAATCCTCTTCCTAGAAATGCCAGCTTGGATATCTGATGGGGAAAGTACAGAACACACCAGCAGCACAGAGCTTTAAAACAGTTTTGAGTGCATTAGTTGGCTGGTCTCATTATTTGGTCATCATTTATATGTAAAGATTTTAATAGTTTCTTACAAAGGGAATAGTTTGAATTGACCAGGTTTGAAAATAACTTTATGTAAAGGAAACTCTGTGGCAAATCTAGATCTAAACAATGCCTTCCTACACCAACAATTTACAAAGTTCCTTGGGGTCTTCAAGGAGCAAGAGATTTTTCAACTGTAAGTGATTTAACATTTTCATTTGGTTTCAATACATTAATGATTCTATTAAGATCAACAGGTTTCATGCTGAAGTGTAGGATTTCTATTTCACATAGATGAAATATTATTTGTAGATACCGATTGGGTTCTTTTGGGTCACTAAACCTTTTATACTGCATGGTGAGATTTACAAATGCTAGATAGCAACACACTTCATTTAGTTGTCCCAACTGAGCACTAAAATTTACATCTGCTGTTGTTCTGCAAACAGCTCTCAAAATATCATTCTGTCTCTAATTCTTTCTTAAAGAATAAATGGGATTTTAGGGGAAGGGGAATACTGATTCAAAATCCAACTGAATTACTGATTCTGTTAAAGATGGAGAAAGACCTTGTCGAAAATACTTAAGACTGAATGAACTAAACAAATCTCAAGATCTGATAAGATCTACAGGATTTTCTGGTGACATTGGACAGACATAACATTTACTTTTAAGTGGTAATATCTGCAGAGCTGAACATTACTAAATAATTGGTTTTACCCCTCAAGAAGCTTTTTGGTGCCATCAATGTTAGGTGAAGAATTATTATTGCGTCTTATTCTCATCTGACACCACTAACTCTTCCACAAGTGAAAGTGTAAGGATCACATTTTATCACAGGTAGCATTTTTATCATTCAGACACACATGGTACAAATGTCAAACCAATTTTTGTTTAGCGTTGGGGATGTGACACTGGCAGACCAGGTGCCAGCTCATGCCAAAGCCCAGGGCCTCATTGAGCACTGACAAATGTTTAGCTGCAAACCAGTCCAGCTTACCCATGGGTTAAGTTCAGAATAAAAAAGCCCCCCTTTAGCTTCCTTTTCTGAAAAGCTTGATCCAAAAAGCTGGGGAATGGAACATTTAGAGCAGCGGTTCTCAAACTTTAGCAACTGTGGACCCTCATTTTGATTTTAAATTTTTCACGGACCCCCAAGCTCCCTGCTCAGCCCCAGGCCCTACCCCCAATCCATCCTTTCCCCCAAGGCCCAATCCCTGCCCCACCTCTTCCCGTCCCTGTTCCACCCCTGCCCCTCTTCCTGCCACCTCCCATGAGCGCGCCCCATCTCCGCTCCTCCCGCTCCCTCCCAGCATCTCCTGCACACCGCTGAACAGCTGTTCTCTGGCGTGCAGGAGGCACTGGGAGGGAGGGGGAGGAATTGACCAGCGTGGCCGGTGGCCCTGGACATGACTCGCAGACCCCTTGGAATACCCTCGTGGAACCCAGTTTGAGATACCCTGATTTAGAGAAATGATACAAGAGGGGCTCAGAGATCAGATCACTTTCAAAATAGAAAACGGGATGAAACTTTTTATAAAGAAGTGCCCAGCCCACAATGGCCACCTCAGCAGACATTTCCATTTTGACTTTACCAACAAAAACAAAATCTAATGGAGACATAACCATAATTATCGCATATAGCTAGTAAAGCAGCTACAGCTTAATCTTCAAGACCTTAAAGATCCTTATCCGCTGTGCTATCTAAAATAAACGGAGTTGACTTCTATAATTTTCCTATTTGTTCTTCCCCTTTCCTTAACTTCTGTCCATCTATCTTTAAACTGCAAGCTCCATAACAGGGACAGTCCATTCCTGAATGTCTGAAAAATGCCTACCACATTGTGGCCACTGCCATAAGCAAACAGTAATACTACTTAGTATCTCTTACTTGCTAAAACTATGTTGCAAGGACATTACAACTCTTCACTAAACCAACACAGTTTAAATCAGCAGTTCTCAACTGGGGGGCTGCAAACAGGTCTCAGGGGGTCTGCCAAGCCCCACTGCCCCACAGGGGCCAGAGTCCCGAGCCCCGCTGCCTGGAGCTGAAGCCCGGAGCCCCACTTTCCCACTGCCTGGGGCTGAAGTTGAAAAACACCAAAGCTGCAGAAAACAACTGTTTTTCTGCATATAAAAGCCTGAGCAACTGAGCTTTGCAGGGGTCTGGGCAATTGCCCTGCTTGCTACAGGCCCCAGCTTTTACATGCAGAAAAACAGTTGTGACACAGGTGGGCAGTGGAGTTTTTATAGCATGTTGGGGTGAGCTTCAGTAAGAAAAAGGTTGAGAATCCCTGCATTTCCTCAAATATTCCCTTCTGTAGGAACTGATATGACTAACATGTGCACCAAACTTCAAAATGATAAATGTAAGCATCTTTCAACCCACCCATACCATATAGTGCCCACTGTTAACCAGAAATTTCAAATATGGTAAATATAATAAAATTAACCCCAAACACTGTTCTAATCTCACCAGAAAGTTCAAATACATTCTCCACAGCAATGGACAATGGACACCATTTTCACTCTGAATTGCGTGTTCAAATAAAGCTTTTATCCGATTTGTTAACCCAGTTTCAGGAATTGTTGAATGTATTTCTCCAACATCTACTCTGAAACAGAAAAGCAAACAATATATACATGAGGTAAACAACTGTGTCCTTATACAAGAAGGCGAGAGTAATTTCACTGCTTCCATTCCACAGAAAATTGCACAAATGTATTAGGAACTTCATGCTGCTTTCTCTGTTAACATTTAGCGCTCTCAGATTAAATTGAATTGGAATATATGCTGGTCCAACTGGCATTTTAATATATAAATCAACAACAAAAAAACAATGAGGTATTTATTTTTCTTTGTGGAAAGGACGTCTGGCATATCTAAACTCAGAGTTCAGAAAAATTATCATTTTTTCTAGGTTATAATATCCTAATTCAATGTAACCTGAGGGCACCTATGGATTCTAGTTTTTACCCAGCATGACATATTACTATTCTTCAGACATTTTAGCCTATATGTTAGAAGTAAATAAAACAAAGCTTTTAGCAACATCAACAATTGTAACACTTAAAAAAAAATCAACATATGCTCTCAAGATTATGCAACATATTTAAATTGTCTAATGTGTTCTGCACATTCTGTTCTGCATTCAGAAACATACTGAAGTATGAATAACAATAGTTTAAATAACTAATAAAAATAGTGTAATTAACACAGAATGCTGAAAACAGCACAAAAACATCAATGATCGGAGATTAAATATTTTTGACACCATTTAAGAATATTGTAGTCAGGCTCAATCACTTGTAGGTGCAAGTTTCCATAACGAATCACAAAGGAGTCTGGGGGGGGTGTGAATCAAAAGGCCAAAACAAAAACTTAAATTAAGAATAAGTTTGCATTCAACTAACTAGGCTGGGGGGTGCATTTAGCACATAAACAAACTATAACTAGCCTATAAAAAAAAAGTTAATGACCTTCAATTTTGCTAGCTCCTTCTCTGTTCTCTAGAAATTTCTCAAAATACATCTTTAGCAAACCTGAAAGAGCAAATAGAGTTTGTAGAGGCTAAAAAGAATCTTTAAAAAGAGCAGAGATTTTATTTATTGAATTCCTCTTATTCCTCATTAGTTGGGGCATTCAACATATTTTATGCATAATTAATCATTTGTATCTTTGTCCTGTAATAGGAATTTATACAAATGGATAATACAATCTGCACAAAGGTGTCTGGGTTAAAGATGATTTCATCCAGGAAAGAATGAAATACTGCAGGGAAAGTAATCTGACCAAAGGCAAACACCAACAGCACAGAGCTGCAATCATCCATTTTTTAAAAGCTTGTAATATTTTGATCTCTTCTCCATTACAGCACCAGGTCTCCTTGATCTCTCTCTGCGCTGCAGTGATACAAATTAAATCACTTAATGCGTTCAGATGCTGTAAAATGAGCATTGTGGGCTTTTCATTTATTAAAACAGTCCAGCTAGCATACTAGGCAATTTTTTGCTCACTATCAAAGACCTGAGAATTGCCCCGTCCTCTTTTAATGTCTGAAGGAAGAAGGCATGGGCTATTCTCAAATTTCCACCAATGAGCAAAGATTAATCTGATATTTATGATAATTAGTCATCTGCTGATTTAAAGAGACTTCTCGTTACAATAGTCAACATACAGTATCCAGACTGCAACCAACAGCAAGTTCTAAATTGCAACATGCTGTCTTCCTTTACATTTTATCACAAACTATTACAATTTATGACTTCATTATACTGACAGCTCAAGAACAAGACTGTCACTTGTGTGGTTTGAGAAATGTTTGAGGGCAGTGTGATCCAGCAGAAAGAATATGGGACAAGAGTCAGGAGATTTACATTTTGTTCATGATTCTGCCACTGATTCACTGAGAGATCTTGAACAAATACCCTCTCCACTTTTACAGATGAGGAAACTGAGGTTTGAAGATAATGACAGTACCCACTCTCCTTAGTAAAGTGATTTGATAGCTACAGATGAAGAGTGAAGTGGACAGTATTACTGTCTGGAGTTCTATTACCTCTGAACATTCTCGACAAGCTTCTTTCTCATCTCCTCTGCTTGGATTGCAAACAGCCACGGCTCTAGGGACTTAGTAGACCTTGTGACACTATCAAAAAATCTTCGTGCTTTGCTAGCATTGTGAGACTTGCTTTGGATCTGGATATATGACCTCCAAAGAGACTGGTTGCTAGGATACAGCTTCAAAGCCTCCGTTAGTGCCTCTCGCAGTGGATTTAAAGGGTAAATGCTAACTTTCATATGGTACCTGAGTAAATTTGTGTGCATGAGTGTGACAGCTTCAAGAGCAGTGGGGAAATTATGAATGCCAAGATTTTCTCCAATGCTTTCAAACTTCTGTGAAGTAGAACCTTTAAGCTTTTCAGAAATACGTCTACATATTAATACAGCAGCATCAATCCCAACAGTCAAATACTGGAAAAGTGCATAACAACCAACTAAACTAACCAGTTGGCTAGAACTGCTGGCCTGATCCCAGTTAGAGACTGGACTTTCATTTAAATAATCTTGCAACGCATGCTCATATGCCTTCCGAGCTTTCAAGATATTCACAGATAGCACTTGCCCAGTATAAGGTACATATGGCCCACTTTCAGCCAGTTTGGTCAATATATGTAAAGCACGTGACATAACAGTTTCCTCCAAACTCTCTAGTAGCTCCACTTCCAGTGAAGCATAAAGCAGGCTTAGATTACAGAGTTGGATATTTCTCATTCCTTCAGTGCCTGCCAAGCAAAGAGCTGTATCAAACACTTTTCTAGCATCTTCAGTGTTGCCAAGTAACCATTCCAAGTAAGCATACAGTTTCCAGAGGGAAAGGTTGTTTCGGTTTTCAGATGCCTTAAGGAGATTCTTGGCTAGTTTTTTGCTTTTCTTTCCCTGTGATTTCAGTTTCTTCTTGTTTTTTGCTTGGAGACACTGAACAACCTGCATGTAAAATTGACAGAATAAAATTCGGAGGGGGGAAAAAAAAACCCAACCCACAGTTGTATTTGGGTTCATTGTTCTATTTCTGTATTCTTCAGCATCACTAGCCCATTAAAGATTACTGCGTCAACAGCATTCCCCATAGGCACAACCACTGGGAGGACGAGAGGAAAAAAATACCCTCACCACCTTAGCTTCGCTCTCATGCCAAAAAAATTAATCTGTTTCCCTCCCCGTGCTGGGCCACCAGCCAGCTCATGTCATATGTCACTTATACTGCAGGGAGTGGTTGTATGGAACAGAGAATCAGCAAAGAGAAACTGAGGCCTTCTCCACACCAGGATTTTTAGCCACCAGTGCAACTACACTGCTGCAAGCCTCTATCGTAGACTCAGAGTGAGAGTGTAAACCCATTACTTACCAATGTGCTTTACTATGGTTTGAAACTGCGATAAGATATACCAATGCATCCTACCTACAACGAGGGATCTGCAGTAGTACCTTCACTGGTGAAGCTACATCAGAGGCTAAAAACCCCTTTGTAGGCCTAAAAAAGACTGAATCCTTTGCCAAGTGTCAGATCTGTTTACTGCAGGTGAATACCACTCCCTAACAAGCTGCCTTCACATGCATTCCACCCATATTAGTATTTCATGACAGGCAATTTGGGAAGACTTTGTAAAGTGCTGAAAATGTTATTACCATTTAAAGCAAAGAAACTCTTTCCTCTGTCCCAGTATTTGTCAACCTCTCAAAAATATACCCAATTTATATAAAGCAACAAAGAGTCCTGTGGCACCTTAAAGACTAACCGATGTATTGGAGCATAATTTTCATGGGTGAATGCCCACTTCAATTATGTACAGGTTCATCATTCTTATTGATACATTTTTTATTCTTATAATAAATTTAAAGGGGATTGTAAAAAAAAAAATTTTATTTTTTTTTACTTTGAATAAGGGGTCACCAACCTGAAATGGTTGAGAAAACACTACTCTATACAGTCAGACACAATCATGGCTAGTAGAATTAAAACTGAATTACATGATCAGATTCTACTTTCCAAATGATACTATACTATTTTTTCAACAATGTAATGTGAGTAGCGAGTTTCCTCGTTAAGTACTCAGGTACCATATCATTCAGGCACCCAGCTAAGTATTATACAAAATGCCTTGGTAGATTAGATTGCATAGGAGCTCTTGCCTCACTAACTATGCATCTTGTATAACCATCGCTTATGGACTCTCTCTAGCATACACAAAGTATTACACAGTAATAGACAATGTAATGTATCTAACAATGTAGAAAAATTATACTGTTTTTCAAAGAATAACATGTTATTGTGTAATTATAGACTATTGTGATATATATGCATAAGTGAACAGAGTTAAAGCTGAGTACACCACCTTAACTATAGCTTTTCCTGACATTTGAGTGCTCAACCTCCACTTTATCTTAATGTTGCTTATTTTAATGGTATAAAAAATGTACACAATAAAACTATAAGCCACACTGAGAGACAGTGCACAAATACTTAATTACCTTTGAGATTTCATATTGTAGCCAACAGACAGAAAGGTGTGACTTTTCCTTTCCTGAAAACAACGGCAATATTAAATGAAAGACATTCTGTATGAACTCTTCTCCTTCCTTACAGTGTCCCATGCGCTGTCTCCCTCTGGTCATTGTGTCCATATGGCCAATACTATTGACTCCAGAAAGCAGTGAGTCAAAAGAAGTCAGTGGCTTTTCAGACTGCCCAGTGTCAAAAATATTGTTCTCATCCATAGCGATATAGAGATTTGAAGGAAAGAGACTACACCCACATGGGACTCCCACAAATTGCAGAAATGAGTATAGCAGCTGAAACTGAAGATCTGGACTAGAAAGTCTGATTAAAGATGGCCCAAGATCATCAAACAATACCTAGAAAAAGGAATAAAATAGTTAATTTAATTATAATTCAACCAAATAAGTCTATAATTTATCAAGCAGCTTTCTGAGTTAAATATTTTCAAAAATGAATATGAAATGGTGATGGAACTTGATTCGAATTAAGAAAAACAAGGCAAATTAGACGAGTAATAGCCCCCTTCCAGAGAAGGCTGTGGGCCCAATCTGCAGATAATAGACTTCTACAGTTCTGGATTACTAAAAGGATTGCAGGATCTCCAATGACCTCTTCAAGAAACTTATATACAGGGGTCCAAAAGGAATAATTTAAAAATTATTCCTTATATTGTTTTACTTGTCTTTACCTTGATGCTAATGTCTGATCACTTATTCTAACTATATTTTCTTTGTCTAAAAATCTAACTTTCCTCTCTCTATTTGCATGGGTTTCAGTTTTACTTATTTCTCCTGGTTCTATAATAAAATTATAATTGATTATATGTATCCCAGTAGTGCATAGAGCCCAAGACCCCATTGTGTTAGTCATTGAACAAACAGACTGTCACTGCCCCAAAGAGTTTGCAATCTAAGTGTAAGAATATAGTATCTTATATAAAATAACTAACTACTCTGGGTGATTATTTACTTTTTGTTAGTTTGTTTTTTCCCCCATGTTCTCAAGTCAGATGCTTATTTTATAAGTGGTCAGCTTTCAGGCAGCAAAATGGTCTTTCAGTTTGCTCATTTAATAAGGAAGTATTTTTTTCTAAATGCAGGTTTTATTAACCACTGTACAGTGCATCTCAGAACGTTTATAAAGATTAAATCTCACAAGACTTCCATTTTACAGATGAGCAAAAAAAAAATCAAGGAACAGAGAGGTCAAATGACTTGCCCAAAGTCAGACAAAAGAGCCCACAGGACAGATATGCAAATACAACACAGAACCAGTCCGACACTTGAACTTTACTGAAACATAAGTGATTGAGTTACTGTCTATGTGTCTGTTCCTCTGTAGAAATGCAATGGCAAGCAATGAGGTGGGATGTATGTGGAAGTGGGAGTGGGATGTGGGAGGGGAGAAACAGAGAGCACAAACAGCTTGAGCTCCTTCCCTCACCTGGTACAACTCCAAAGGCAGCCACAAGGCTCCATGCAGCTCTCTTTGAGAACAGGGGCTGACTAGCAATGATAGCAGCTCTACGCTCCTCAACATATGCACATGACCAAGGGGACTGCGGACATGGAGTGTCACTAGTACCAGGAGGCAAGTACCGAGGGAGGTGAGTGCTACACCCTTTAAAGAAAAATGTATGGTATTATGATTGCTACTCCTTCCAGGCAAAGAGCCTCCCAGCCACTATTGCTTAGTGCTTTGTTTCTGCATACCTGCACACCAAGGAGCAGAAGAATGGTATTAACAAGGCAATAGCCAAGTTCACTGTCTATTTAGAACCCTTTGGGCAACAGTAAAATTGCCAAAATCACATCAGTTTCATGCTGCTTGAAAAAGCAATGCATGACAGAGGCAGGTACTCAGCTATTCACAAGGAATGAGAACACAACTGGAAGAATGGTAAAGAGGCTGTGGGAGAGGCAGAGTAACGGACACCCTCCCCATTTCTTACAGCAATTAGGGAGGTCTGGAAAGGAGAGGAGAGACAGAAAGATTACTTACCTGTACAGTAAATGGAGTTCTTCAAGGTGTTTCATCCCTATGGGTGCTACATGTGAGGATTTGCATGTGCCTATGCACTCTTGATCAGAGATTTGTGTCATCAGTCCATGGGTCCACGCTTGCACCCTACACATTCTCATGCTCTTATATAAGGGTACAAGAAGGGGTGGACCCACCACCACTCCAGTTCCTTTTCAACCATAAAGTCCAAAGCAGAGGGGAAGGAGAGTGGGTAGTGGAGCACCCATACTTCCTATCTTTCCTATGTAGTGGGATAGTAATGGCAGTTTTTCAAAGAGACAACTTTCTCTAACTGTTTTTCCTTTAGACTTGCTTCCCAAGGGAACTTACCTACCAACCCCCTGAATTTGCTAAAGTCTGCCTTCTTGAAATACATGGTCTTTATTAAGTATCAGAGGGGTAGCTGTGTTAGTCTGAATCTGTAAACTGGGACTCTCTTTTTGCCCCAGCACCCCCACGAACATGATACAGTTATGCAGTGATCTGGAAGCCTACTTTCGCCGCCTCCGACTCAAAGAATACTTTCAGGATAACACTGAACAGCGCACTGATACACAGATACCCTCCCACCAACAACACAGAAGAAGAACTCCACGTGGACTCCTCCTGAGGGTCGAAATGACAGTCTGGACCTATACATAGAATGCTTCCGCCAATGTGCACAGGCAGAAATTGTGGAAAGACAACATCGCTTGCCTCATAACCTAAGTCGTGCAGAACGCAATGCCATCCACAGCCTCAGAAACCACCCTGACATTATCATCAAAGAGGCTGATAAAGGAGGTGCTGTTGTCATCATGGACAGATCTGACTACCAGAAGGAGGCTGCCAGACAACTCTCCAATACCAAATTCTACAGGCCACTTTCCTCAGATCCCACTGAGGAATACACTAAGAAACTGCACCATCTACTCAGGACACTCCCTACACTAACACAGGAACATGGTCTTTATTGTGCTGTCTTCCCTCCTACCATTCCTTAGAATCATGAACTGTATCATTTCATGATCACTTTCATCCACGCTGCCTTCCACTTCCAAATTCTCAACCAGCTCTTCCCTAGATTTGATTTTGACAAATAGAAGAGCCTCTCCCCTAGTGGCTTTCTCCACCTTCCAGAATAAAAAATGGTCTCCAATACTGTCAAGATTCCTTCCCCACTCTGAAGTTTAGAGTACAGATATGGGGACCTGCATGTGAACCTCCAAACTGAATTACCAGCTTAGATCTAGTTTTGCTGCCACCACTCCCAAGTACTAACTCCCTTCCCTGGGTTGCCTTGAGAGACTTCTCCACCAATTTCCTGGTGAACACCGATCCAAACCCTTGGATCTTAAAACAAGGAGAAATTAACCATTCCCCCTCCTTTCCCCCACCAATTCCTAGTGAGTCCAGATCCAATCCCCCTGGATCTTAAAACAAGGAAAAATCAATCAGGTTCTTAAAAAGAAGGCTTTTAATTAAAGAAAGAAAGGTAAAAAATCATCTTTGTAAAATCAGGAAGGAAAATAACTTTACAGGGTAATTAGATTTAAAGAGCCCAGAGGAACCCCCTCTAACCTTAGGTTCAAAGTTACAGCAAACAGAGGTAAACCCTCTAGCAAAAAGAGGTAAACCCTCTAGCAAAAAGGAACATTTACAAGTTGAGAAAACAAAGATAAACCTAACACGCCTTGCCTGGCTGTTACTTACAAGTTTGAAATATGAGAGACTTGTTCAGAAAGATTTGGAGAGCATGGATTAATGTCCAGTCCCTCTTAGTTCCTAGAGTGAACAACCCCAAAACAAAGAGCACAAACAAAAGACTTCCCCCCACCAAGATTTGAAAGTATCTTGTCCCCTTATTGGTCCTTTGGGTCAGGTGTCAGACAGGTTACCTGAGCTTCTTAACCCTTTACAGGTAAAAGGATTTTGGTGTCTCTGGCCAGGAGGGATTTTATAGTATTGTACACAAGAGGGTTGTTACCCTTCCCTTTATAGTTATGACAAATACATTCCAAGAACTTGTTGGAAATCTGTGCTTTGCTGTGTTATTTTCCCAACAGATGTTTGGCTAGCTGAAGTCCCCCATCACCACCAAGTCCTGTGCTTTGGATGATTTTTTTTTTTTTTAAATAAACTAAGCCTCATTCACCTTCTCTTCCTGGTTAAGTGGTCTGTAGTAGATCCCTACCATGACATGACACTTGTTTTTACTCCTTTTATCTTTACCCAGAAACTTTCAACAAGTCTGTCTCCTATTTTCATCTCAATCTCAGTCCAAGTGCATACATTTTTGATATCAAAAGCAACACCTCCTCCTTGTTTTCCCTGTCTGTCCTTCCTGAGTAAGCTGTACCTTTCTATACCAATATTCCCACCAAGTCTCTGTGACACCAACTATGTCATAGTTGCGTTTATTAACTAGCTTTTCCAGTTCTTCCTGCTTATTCCCCATACTTCTCACATTAGTATATAGACATCTAAGATACTGATCTGATTTTCCCCCTATGTTCTCTCTTGTCTCTCCTTTATCCCTGCTATAATGGTCCATGTTCCCCCCAGTTTCCGACCCTTCTCCCAAGTCTCCAGAGGATCCACAGGTGCCAGTGTTCTTGGTGAGACCTCAAGGTGCACTTCAAGGGAGGAAGGGTGGAAAGAGAAGGTGGTGGAATTCTGGACAAACACATCTGAGTCCAGAAAGTGTCCTTACCCATGTCCAGTGGATGAGCAACAGGTGTCAGTACTTTGAGTCAAGGAAGGACAGGCAACCGCATCAGTAATGACAGCCGAGCCTTCATAGAAGGGTGCGGTGGTATAGTACCAGATGGTAATGTCAATACGCGCGGGAAAATCCTCTCAGTAGCCCTCAGCAGAGGTGATTTGGGTTCTTCCAGGATTCGAAGGTCTTCATGAAAGAGGATCCTGGATGGTACCAGAGAATCTGGGTACTGTGTTTCGGGAGTCATCATATCGAGAGATACCTGGAATGGGAGCGAAGTACGGTCCATGTGCTCTCTCTCATGACCTGAGCACACTGACACCAAGACTCAGGACTCAGTCATCATCCTGAGTCTTCGACGAATCCTTTTGTTTAGAAGCCTCCCATTCTGGTACCAACACTGGTACTGCACAAGGCTTCTCAGTACGCATTATGAAACTGTACTGGGATTTCAGTACCAGAGGAGGGAAAAGCCTTAATGGTACCTATACTGGGACATGAAGTCTCCTTGTTCCCTAGTTAGAGGGTGACTTTCTCCCTTATCTTGGTATCTTTCTCAGGGAAATGGGGTCTCTTCTTTTCAGATGTTCTTGAAGACTCTGAAGGCTCCCCTCCCAGGTCTTTGGTTATCGAGCAGAGGCTTGGGCAGCCACTGGAGCATTCTGAGCAGTTGAGGCAGTTGAACAATAGGAGGGACTCAGACCCTGCAAGTCTCAGGGAATATTCTATAAGAAGTTGTTTCAATCAATTCGCCTTCAGCTTTCTGGATATGCTGCTGATCAGATGCTACACTTGGAGGGGACATGCGCCTCTTCAAGGCAGCTGGAATGCCCCTTGCTGACAGGGAAGGGCCTGTGGCAGGTCTGGCAAGGTTTGAAGCCCAGGATCTTTGGCATAATCCATGAAGAAAGGCCATGGAAGGAGAGGAGCTGAGTGGAACAGGCAAAAGAATACTGAGAGACAAAGACACCCCCCACGCTCCCAAAAAAGCACAAAGCTGTGCTAAATTAAAACAAGAAAATGATGAAATAAAGAAAAAAAAGAGGTCAGCAAACTGGGTCAGCAGGCTAGCAGACACAATGACGCTCCGTCTCAAGCCACAGGTGGTTGAGAAGGAACTGCAGTGGCAGAGCATCCGCCCCTTCCTATATACTCTCATATCAGAGCAAGAGGATATGTAGGGAGCAGGCATGGAACCACAGACACTGCTGACAAAAATCTCCTGACATGAAGAAACAATAGTGAGGATAATTTGAAGAAATTCCTTTTCCCTTAGAGCAGCTACAGCAGTAGAAGTTTAAAATTTGTACGACACCTACTAGCGAGAGGTTACTATAAAGGTGGAAGCCTTCAAGCAGGGGTAGAAGTCTCAGCACCTTCTTCCTTTCAAGCACGTGAAATGACAAGGGTACTGGGCTCATAAGCAGAGTATGGCCTCTAGATCTTGCTGAGAAGCGCGTCCCCCCCTCCCATCCTTGTCTTTTGCAACTTCCTTGGTTAGGAAGTTTTCAGAACCCACAGCAGGGGCACCTTAACTATTTCACCCCAGGCGGTGTCAGGAATAGATCAACAGGAACACAGCAATTCCATCTGATAAGATTAATGAAAGTAAGCGTGCGCTATCTAAAACTGCAGTTTATTAGATTTAAGCACACACAGACATAAGCAATAGGTTTAGCACATCCCAGATATTTACTTATTATCTGGAATAGTATTGAGTAATTAACAGCAGGTTTGCAGTTGCCAGTTGCTCACCCAATGGGGAGAAAAGGTGTCCGGAAAAAAGTCTCTCAAGATGGCTTCAGAGGACTGCTCCAAAGTACACTCTATTATCTAGACTTTTTATAACTAACTTCTATAAAACACATATGTCATGATGACCCCTATTAGATCATTACTTTTCCTAACTTTCAACAAACTTTCTAATATCAGAGGTGTCCAGACTCAAGGTCTTCCTTCCACCAAGGTTTTCAGTCTCAGTTGTTTATTTTCCTCTCCCCTCCTCGCATTCGGATTAGCAAAACTGCCAGTAGTTTTGACCTTGCTTCTGAAAGCCAGTCTACAAACTAACCCTTAACTATGTGGTGTTCTATTTCATTAATTCATGGTGGCTGAATGAACATAATATGGTTGCAATTAGCTTGATCACATTCTGGGGTACACACAACCCTCAAATCCAGGGCAACACCTTGACTATAGAGATTATGGTTTGAGGTCTGGTAAGTTTTTCAAGCCTTGACTTATAAAACTGTAGGGACAGTTCAAGCATGGTCGTGATTTTATGAACAAGAACTTGTCTGCAAAAGGATTGGACTGGGAACACCACCACACTTCTGAAATGCCACCACAGAGCTATCACTCACCACTGACATAGGTTGGATATAAACCAATGACCTACAGGTCAAAGGCTCCCACTACCAATCCCTAGGGCAGAGTTTTTCAAACTGTAGGGCACAATAAAAAAAAAATCCAGCCAAACCTTGCAGTAGCTAGGACCCAGAGACAGTCTGAGGAGAGAAGGAGCAGCACATTCCACCCCCACCCCTAACCCACAGCAGCTCCTCCCTTCTCGATGCCTGCACTATGCTCAGCTCCAGGGGAGGTGAAGCAGTATGTCCGATAGGCTTTGGTGCCAACAAGATAGCTCCAGCTTTGTGAAGTAGCATAGTTCTGGAGCTAAACAATAAAAGGGAGAAGCATCACCTCAACCCCCATGCCGTTTCCTAGTTCCACTAGTCTTCCACTTCCTTCCGGGAACTTCCCTCCCCGCAACATAATATCTGATCTCCATGAGCCCCATCAGCCTACCCTCACCAACCAGTACCTCCTCACTCCCTGGAACAATCTTACCTCAAGCCCATCAGTCGGTTTTGGGAGGGACTTCATGGCTCCCAGCAAGAAACCACTGGTGAATTTTCAGTCCCACCCAAGTAAAAAAAAAAATTTTTCAGAACCACTGCCCTAGAGATATCCAAGACCTTCCAAAATTATTTGTTGTTTAAAACAATTATGCATGGAGTCCTTGACAGATTAACTTAAATGTAAAGAAATCACACACACGGACACACTCTTATATATCACAATGACCTGTCTCTCTGGGTCTTCACAATCTTCTTCAGTCTGCTTTTTAGTTTTGTCAGGTCGCCAAGGCAGCCAATGCCTTGTTTCACGGGAACATTCAATGTCCAGCCAAATTTGCCATTTAGGTAGAGTTTTATCCTTTATTTCTTGATCTTCATCTACATCTTCCTCATCCTCATCTACAAAATAAACAAACAAAAAACCCAGACACTAAAATTTTAAGTCACCCATCCAAAAACTTACTTCATATGTACAGAAAGTGTTTTAAAAATGAAAAGCACTAGCTGTATGCAAAGTATTACTATGGAATTAAACATTACAAATTAAAATTGGTATCATTGTTTTAAACTAACTGATATTTTCAATGACTGTTTAATTTTACATGCATTAGATCTTGCCAATGCAATTAAATACTTCTCAGATTAAAAATATTCACTGAACCTAAAATCCAAGTATTAGAATCAGACTAGTTTTATAACGTACAGCAGGATTTTAGATGGTTAAAAGCTTTTTTTTTTTTTAACCTGTGATTTCAATTCCGTTTGGAAAAATGTGTAACCTAACACTAGGATTGCAGGGGAGATTTTTCAAAACCATGGGGTTAGCTGCAGTTTTTAGAGGAAAATTGCCATTCCTCCAGCCCACCCTCACAAAACTACTGTAGCACCAACTCTAAGCTCTTGTTCCTGTCATCTAGCATTGACTGAAACTCAACTCTCTCCCCCACACTTCAGATAAAACAGGTAATGATGAGACCTTCAGTCCCTGTACTCTCTCCTTGAACCTATACTCTCCACTTCAACCAGCTCTTTCATGAGAAACAGCAGCACTCCCTTAAGCCTTGGCTACACTTGAGAGTTACAGCGCACTAAAGTAGGGTTACCATACGTCCGGATTTTCCCGGACATGTCCAGCTTTTTGGGCTCCAAATCCCTGTCCGGGGGGAAATCCCCAAAAGCCGGACATGTCCGGGAAAATCGGGACATGCGGAGCCGGCCGTGCCAGGGGCTGGGGGCGCCAAGCGCCGGCCATGCCGGGGGTGCCGAGCGCCGGGGGCCGGCCGTGCCGGGGGGTGCTGAGCGGGCTGGGGGTGCTCGGCCGGGGGCCGGGCCCGGGGCCAGCACCCCAGGGCCCGAGCCGACCCAGGCTGGAGACGCGGGGGGGCCGAC